GTGGCGCACACCTGTAATCCCAGCCACTTAGGAGGCTGAGGCAGGAGAATTGCTTGAACCCAGAGGCAGAGGTTGCAGGGAGCCGAGATCACACCACAGCACTCCAGTCTGGGAGACAAGAGCAAAAGTCTATCTGGAAAAAAAAAAATGTTCATGAGGAAAAGAGAACTTTGGGATTGTGCAGTGAGTAGGGCGTATGTGATTGATCAGAGTGTTCGTTAAAATCTATTTTTGGCGGCTAGTTAACTGCCCTGGGGTGGCTGCCCTGGTGGTTGCTGTTTTGATCACTTCCGCTGAAGTGTATTGTGACTGTTGATTAAAGATCTCACTCTCTCATAGAGCAGAGGGTATGTCTACAAGATGAAAGCAGGGGCATGTCCTAAGATTAAGCTGGATATTGGTAGTTTCTCTTTTTAGAAACGTGAAGCAGCCATAGAAGCTCCCAGGTCTGTATTTTTTTGTCCCCACCCTTCCGCCTGCTGTCTGTAGGTGAGTGGGGTGAGGGGAAGGTGGACAGTGTTAATCACGTCACTGCTCAAGTGATGCCACATGCTCTTCTACCAGAGGCAGTCACCGAAGGCTGAGGTTCTCTAGAGCCAGAGCCGCTTCCACTTTCTACGTGAACAGAATGGAGAGTAATTTCAGGCAGAGCCATGCCCATGTCCCCTCTTTCTATGTGGGTTCTGTGCTGTGTCCATCGCTGTGGTCTGGTTTGATGGGGGTAATGGGAGGAGGGGGTGTCAGACTGAGCTCCAGGGAGAACTGGTCACAAACAGAGCTCTCTATTGTCCCGCAGTGCTGGGTCCTGCCACCACCATGGTTCCAGCAGTTGAGCTTTGCTGAAGCCGGGCATCATGTACAGTGTAGAAGACCTCCTGATCTCTCATGGATACAAACCATCGAGAGACCTCCCGGCACCGCGCGAGGATAACCCCAAGGGGCGCCAGGCAGCGAGGACTGGGACACGAGCGGGCCAGGGCCTGCAGAACGGGCATGAGGATGCCTCTGCGGCCCTTGCACATCGTAGGACACCCGCGGGGAAAGGACACGTGAGTGACTCCGAAAACCGCCGCAGCACACCAAGAGGCCACGGGGAGCCCCAAAGCGCCTCTGCTTCCAGAACCTCCGACGCGGGGTAAGAGTCACTGTCAACCCACTGTTTTCTTTTGACTCCGGAGTTTGGCAGCGGGTGACGTGTAGGTAAACTCTTTCAGCTCTGTATTTGTCTGGGGCCAAGGAGGGAGAAATGGTGTTAGACACAAGAACACTTTTTTGTTGTTGTTTAGAGACAAGGTCTTGCTCTGTTGCCCAGACTGGACTATAGTGGCGCACTCATGACTCACTGCAGCCCTGACCTCCTGGGCTCAAGTGATTCTCTCGCCTCAGCCTCTCAAATAGCTGGGTCAAGTGCGTACCACCACACCTGGCTAATTTTTATTTTTTGTAGAGACAGAGTCTCACTATGTTGCCCAGGCAGTCCTCCAACTCCTGGCCTGATGCAATCCTCCCCTCTCAGCATCCCACAGTACTGGGATTAGAGGCATGAGCCACCACACCCAGCCCAAGATCACTTGTTTCCACTGCGATATTCAGGGTGCTCCAGCAGCACTTAGCACAGGGTTTGGCCATAAGGGGCCTTCAATAAGCAGCCGTGAGTAAACACATTCGATCGTGCTAAATACACTGTGTTAGGACTCTGCTTCTGGTTCCCTTGTAATCTCTTCATCTTACCTCAGATAGGAGTCATTTCAGAACTTTATAAAAGCGAGTTCATAGGCATGCACCCATTCATTGTATATTCGGGTTTCTTCTGAACACAAGTCAGTATTTTATAGGTTATGGGGAGTTGAAAAGGGGTCTGTTTTCCCCTCCGTTTGTAAAACAAAACTTTTCTTCTCGTGTATTCACATAATTCCTTTGGCTTCTGACCTGTCTTTTCCTTGCACACACACTGGCCCTAATGTGGGCATCCCATCTGAATCCAGCTGCGTCTGTGGGTGTTTCCTTACAACAAAAAGAGGGGGCGGGTTGGCTAGGGGAACAGGATGGTAAAAAAAAGAGAATTTCGGAGGCTTGCCACAGAGCCAGGCTGGAGAGAAGCCCTGAGACCTTCTCCCATGCAGTTTCCACCTGGGGGAAACCTTTGTCACTTCTTCCTAATGCTGCATTTGCCTTTAGTGTTGCACTGGGGCCAGGCACAGACTGGGGAAGAAGAGCTCTGAGGCTACAGAGCACGTTATGTAACTGCATGTCAGCAGCTAGATATGGACGAAGGACACAGATGGAATCAGGGGCCTTTCTGCAGAGAAACAAACGCACACACAAAATGGGCAAGTCTGATGGGAAGGAACGTGCCTTCCATGGTTACAGGTCACCTTTGCAGAGAAAGGACCTTCCTTGTTGGTTGACAGTTTTCAGGCAAAAATGGAAAGGATTTTGTTTTCAGTGTCAGAGCACTTAACACATTATTGGACAAAAGCGAAGGTGAAGCCCTTGTTTTTGCCCAGTGTAGTGAAAGCAGGTTTAGGTTGCCAAGTCAGATTGCCTCTGCAGTGAGGGGCAAGACGAGTCAGCGCTGATGGAGCCAGGCTCAGGCGGAAAGCCGCAGTGAAGAAGGGGCTGGAAGCTGTTTCCCTTTCACCTGTGCTTCAGAACTCACACCTGTGTCAGGTACTTTCATGGGCTTCACTTTCTTGGCCACCATATTCCCTGAAAGACGTGCCCAGCATGGAGCTGGAAGAGGGGCTTATGGAGGAGTTGGCTGAGGGTTCAGATAGTCTTAGTGACTGCCACACAAACTGGCGCTTGTGTTTTTTTGATTTTTGGTGGTTTTTTTCCATGCCTTCTCTTGTTTCTGCTTTCGTGCTGAGTATATCTGTACCTTCCAACTTGCATTTCAAGGTACTGAGGTGGTACCTTGTCTCCTGTTTCTTTTGTATCTTGTACAGAGTCTTACAGTACTGGGCATACGTGGTCATTTAATGCACGCTCATGAATCCCATTTAGTCTTTCCCCCATTGTAGCAACTGTTGGAAAGCAGAACGGTCAGTTTCTAATGAAGTAAAGACAGGGCTGTGAATCCCTGCAGACGGACTGTGTAGGTTATGTGGGGCTCCCTTCAAACACGAGGGGCCGGATCAGAGTTGAGTCCCACGGTGGGAGGCATGAGAATCCCCTTTAGAATTCGGTGTGGGCAGTGAGGCTGCCAACCTCATCCACAACTAGCCCCTGGTGTGGTGACAGGTTCCTGAGGACCAGGGCGTAATCAGATCTGCAAGCTGCCTTTCTTTCCCATCCTGAGTGAAGGGCCAAGATAAGCGGCTTTCTGTAGCTTGGGGATGCTTTCATACAGATGACAGAGTTCTCGGCCTGTTGTCCACGTTGCCAGCATCCGCTGGTTCACTTAGGTGGTATTGAGCAGCTTTTGGATTGAAGGTTGGCGCCTAGGATAGAAACAGCAAATGTATGCATGTTTGCAAGCATTCATGCCAGTGCCCCAAGCCTCAGAGACTGGTTACAAAATTCCCTGCGTGGAAATGAAAGATTTTTTTTTTCCTTAGGTACCCAATAGAGAACTGAAAATTGGAGGGAAACAGAAAGGTAGGCATGAAGAATCGTTTCTCCCCATCAGAAACAAAGTGCTTTTGGAGGAAGTAAACAGGCATCAATAGTTAACAGCTTAAATTTAAAAAAAGAAAAAATAAGAGAAGCCAGTACTACTATGGCTAATGTGAATTCTGAATCTGATGAATAAATGGTGCTGTCAGATCCCAGTCTTTGGTTACTCAAAAGCACAGCTGTGGTCTTGCTGCCTCCTCCATCTCACTATGTGGGATCTCTCGGTCTAGGGGGCACCTGGGGCCCAGGATAGCCCTGTCCAACTTGAAGCCATCAGTGTGATTGGGAAGGGACACGAGGGTTCCTCTTCTGCAGTTTCTTGGTTGAGGCTGCCCTAGGGTGTGTCCCCACACTTTGGGCCAGTCCTCAGCACCCCACTGATGTCCTAGGAAAGATGGAGGTCAAGGTCATTTAGAAGGCCACATGGGGTTGAATGAAAATGTGTTTATTTTATTCTGGCAGGATAGTGGAGACCCAGGCATGTTGGCAATGTTATTATCTTATAACCGAAGAGCATTGCGTTCGTCCAGTGTGTGCTGCTGTCACAGGCTGGGTAATTTATGATGAATGGAAATTTATCAGTTCACAGTTCTGGAGGCTGGGAAGTCCAAGGTCAAGGTGCTGGTATCTCATGAGGACCTTCTGGCTGTGTCATCCCATGGTAGAAGGTGAGAGAGTGAGAGTGAGATCAGGTAAGAGAGGGCTGAACTCACCCTTTTAAGAGGGCACCAATCCCACTGAGGAGGGTGGAGCCCTCATCAAACTCATCACCTCTTAATCCTGTTACAATGGTGATTAAATTTCAACATGAGTTTTGGAGTGAATAAACGTTTAAACCATAGCAAACACAAAGCCCAGAGGACGTCGGTGGCCATCCATGGCCACTCAGTGCAGCAGTGGAGGGAGCTCAGCTTGGGCCACAACTCCCCCCACCCCCACAGCAACACTGGGCCTGATTCTGCTCTCCCCAGGTGAGGCCTGTTTTCATTTGAAAGGAGCACTTGAGTCTGTAAGCTCCTGGGGTTACCCTCACTGGTTGGCCTTTTCTCAGTTCCTTGCCCTGCACCCTCCCCCAGCGGGCACGGACATGTAACAGCTCTGAGAGACCAGCTGTATCCCTTTCCTGTCTGGAGAGGCTTATAAAGACTGCATCCTGACCTGTCTACACAAGATAATGCACATAACGCCGCTCTTCTGTGGACGTCGTAAAGAAAGCATATGTGGAAGGCGGGATTATCCGTCATCTGGGGCTTAGCTGGAGTAGCATTGTCTGGTGAGAATGGTCAGGATTGTTTTTTCCTCTCTAATGATTACTATCAGTTTAGAACAGAGTTTCTGATTTAAGAACCAGCTCTATCTAGTAAAACATTTATTTTTCTTTTTCCCTTTCTTACTCTAGGGACATTTAGTAAAACTTAAAAAAGAATATAAGTATGAAGCTTTGATGAGATTTTCAAGCATGCAGGATACTTGTTTTCTAATGTGCTGAGGGGGCTGTGCTTTGAGCTCTCACTATTAGCCCATCAAGTCCTATTGAGCATCTGGGACAGGAGGAGAACGACAGTTCTGTTGTGAAGAAAGGCAAAGGAGCCTGTGAATGTGCTAAGAATCTCTGAGGCGCAGTGGAGATTTTTTGTAGTGGGGAAGGACCAAGAGTTCGTTCTCTTTCATACATAGAGTATGTAAATTGATGAGCAGACAGTAATTGTTTTTGAAAGCTACACGTTAATGTGTTGGGCCATCGTTCCCATGGCTGGTAACTTTATCAGCGTTTAAAGCACAGCAGATGGACTGTGAAGACTGACTGTGGGACTCCTGGCTCTGGGGTCCTCCTTGCCCCTTGGTTGCTGGTGGTGTCAAACCCAGCTTTTTTTTTGTTTTGTTTTTAGACAGAGTATCACTCTGTCACCCAGGCTGGAGAACAGCAGTGATCACTCCTTTCTGCAGCCTTGAATTCCTGTGCTCAAGCAATCCTCCTACTTCAGCCCCTGAGTAGCTGGGACTATAGGTGTGTGTTACTGTACCTGGCTAATTTTTTCTATTTTTTTATAGAGACAGGGTCTCACTATATTGACCAGGCCAGTCTCAAACTCCTGGCCTCAATGATCCTCCTGCCTCAGCCTCCCGAAGTGCTGGGATTACAGGCATGTAATCCACCCAGCCCAGCCCCAGCTCTTTAGTGGGCCCTGCAAACCTTCTCGTCTGAGCCCAGCCTGCCTATTCTATGCCTTCTCGCATTCCCAGTGTACCTGCCCCACAGGGCCGCTGTGTACACTCACCCTCTAAGCCTGCCTGGAAATACCCACAAGCCCTTCCACCCATCTCCCACTAGAAAACGCACCCTAGCAGTTCACCTTTTTTGGAGTTTCTTCTATTGAAATCATGCTGTCCTATGAATTCCTCCAGCATTTTCTCCTGGCCTCCGGGATTATCGGCTTCCTGCTGGCTGGTACCATATCCGATTCATCTCTGACTTGGCTAATTACTGTTAAAGATTTTTGCATTTAGTAAACACTCACATAAATCCATTGGATCAAACCTAGCACTTAGATGCCAAGGCAGTTGTGTGAGTGCTGAGTGTTTTAGAACATTGGGCTGAAATGAGACGGGACGTGGAAGAGGCTCTACCCATGACTTGTGAGAGGCTAGTTTGGGAAGGTTCTCTTGGGAAAGAAGGGATATTGGCTTCCTAGTGGGCAGCTGAGGGAGCCATCCTGATGGAATCTACCCTTCGATGCAAACTCTTTCATGGGGTGACCAGTGAATAAGGGAGGAAAAAGTAACAGCCAGAGAAGACTCAGCAAAACTTCTAGTGGGCTGAAGACTTCCTTGCAGTAAAGTTTCCCTCCTTTGTAGTTCCTTTGTGAGGCAGGAAGTGGAACCTACCTGAATGGAAAGGGAGGGGCTGTTGTAAGGATTCATGGAGAGATTCATGGACCATTCATAGGAAATGGAAAGACTGGCTGGCCTCCTTAGACATGGGAATAAGAGCACATATCCCTGGATTGTGGGTGATTCCCCTGCAGACTCATTCGTCTCTGTCTCCCATTGCCACCCATCTCTGCGTCTCTGCGTACCTATTCATGCTCCTCTTCCCTTCCCTGACAGCTTCCACTCCCTCTACCTCTGACTGGCAGAGACTTAGACTCCACCCTTGCTCCCCTTGCTGGCTCAGCTTCAGAGCCCACTGCTGACAACTGCCTGCATCTCTTCATTGAACCTTTTGAAAACATAGAGTTTTGGACAGCCGGTGGATGCTTGAGCCTGGGTTAGGGTGTCTGCCTCCTCCGATCAGAGGGGAGGGCTGGACAAGGAGAGGGAGGTCGGATGGGGAGGAGGGAATGCCTGATCTTTCCCCGCTGCAGGGGCTGGGGGTGAGGACAGTTTCCAGGCCACAGGGACTGCCTGTGTACCCCAAAACATGTTTTCTTCACAGACCATTTGACAAGTAACACCAAAGATTTGGCGTTTTCCCCCTTTTAAGTCATCGACCTCACAGAAAGCTCATCTAGATGTTAGCCCACTGCTAAATGGTCTCAGTTAACAGATTGTAGTGATGAAACTGGCTGTAGGCTTTGCGTGAAAGTCACTTATGTGGTCCAGGAAAAGACCCACAGGCCATGTCCAAAACTTGCCTGCTGACACACACACACACACACACACACACACACACACACACACAAAGTGGGCGAAGAGGAAAAACTGTGTTATCTACACATGGAGGAAACTACATGCTTAAAATACAAGTAGCCAAAACTAAATAATACTTAACGACCATTAAAATATGTAAAAGGCTGTTATCGGGCACTCAGGGTTTCCTTAATGTGTTTCCTTTGAAATATTATAATCAGAGGAAGCTGTAAAATACACTTCACATAGCAGAAGTTTAAAGCTGAAAGTTACACCGTAATTGGCTCTCCTCTGCATAGCCCCAGGAATTGTGGTGAGACTTTTGTGTTTGTTATCCATGAGAATAACTTGTAATTATCTCCTGTCATCGGCAGCAGTCTTAAGTAATGAGAGACTTAGCGACCTAGGGAGAGTCTCTGATGTGGCGGGTCTGGGGCCCTCAACTTGGGAGGTTTCTATTTGATCAGTAAACATCCATTCTAGATAGTGCTACTGGATATGGTAAACAGTTCATTTTCAGGGGCTTTTAAAGCTTCTCTTAAATCATATCCTGCTTATAAGGGTTTTCTAAAAACAGAGAATGCTTCAATTTTATGTTCCTCTTTGTTTTACAAATGTATACATCCAAACACGATTTGCCTTCTCACCACTGGTTTCCCATCCTAAGCATTAACTGTTGATATTTTGACCTCACCAGGGGGCCTAGTCTGTCTTTCTTGAGCTGGCTTGCTTATGAACACCAGGAAGATCCGGGCCACCTCTTTCCCCAGCATCTTCTGTATGGCCTTCTCTTTGGTCTCATTCGTAAGTGTGGAACCTTCCAGAAGGGCCTGGACACTGGCCCCATGTGACTTTTACCAGCACCAGTTTCCCCGCTAGAAAGCAGGTTGTGTCCTTTATGCTGAGCTTCTGGAAGTGCAGTGACGAGGAGGCACAGGCTTCTGGAGTGATAGGGACAATTCAGCGGTGGCACCACTGAGGGCCTCATGCATCTTGGTGGTAACACCATCCCCAAGAGGAGAGCCATTCATGTGGAATTATGCCTTCAGCTAGAGAACTGGATGAGTCCAAGAGCTAGGAAATGAGGGCAGGAATGTGACCCGTGGGTTCAAAAGAGACCCGAGTGGGTTTTCAGGTGCAGTTGCTGTGCCTCGAGGATGGCTGTGCCTCTGCATTCTCGGCAAAGGACAGGGTGTGGACTGGGTGTTGCTGGCAGCTGCTGTGCACCGGCTGTGGGCCTGGGGGCCTTTAGGCGGCCTCCCTAGGGTGTCATCACCAGACACCCAGCAGCAGGGCCCTTCTAGCTCTCGGGAACCCACCCCTAGTGACCGCCTTCCCTGCCTCTCACAGCCCTCATCTTGTGAAGAACCATGGGTCAGAGGCACCACGAACACTCCGTAATATTCATTGAATTCATTGAATAAATGAATGAATACATGAAAGCAAGAGTGGTACGAGAAAAAGGCAAATGAGAAACAAGGCTGGTCCTTCTCTGTGTCTGTGGCGGCGCTCTGGTTCACACTGGTGAAGGCAATATCTGACATGCTCTTACTAAAGAGAAAATGCTGAAATAATCTGCCTTTCCTATTAGATACGCAAGAGAGATGATGGATTAGGGCTTCTCCTGCTGCCTTGTTTTCATAAGTGAAACGTTGGTTTGCTCTGCATCCCTGTGGTGGAAATGGGTGTAGCTTCTTCCTCAGGCACCAGCCATCTCCAGGAGGAGCAGCGTCTTGTGATGACAGTCAGCCGTGTCACTCTTTCCTGGCATTGTGAAGTCCTGTTGATTACAACTTAGACAAAGACAGTACTGACCTGAAATAATCATCTTCAGACAGACGCTCAGTTCTTCACCCTTTCCTGTGCGCTGCCTGCAACCCCTGCTCCAGGTCATCGAGCAAATAGAGCTTCAAGATAACCTACTCCATGGAGAGTGTACTTCAATCGAGTGTATACTAAATGAAGCCAGGGCTTCTTATGTGTTAGACACTGTGCTAAACACTCTGAATATATTATCTCATTCCTCTCAGAATACTCAAAAAGGAAGGCTTAGTCGGTCCCTGCAGTACAGATGAAGCGTCAGAGGCAGGGGCGGTTAAGGACGCTGCAGACAGCATTCCGCTGGACAGGCACGTCGTTGGCCTTTAAACCCATGCCGACCCTCCAATGCCCAGGGCAGCTGCTCACACTCTCTTGGAAACATTGCAACACTGCTCCCTGTTGGTACAGTGAGAAGCCAGAAACCACCCCCTGGCAGCCACCCCAAGCCTTGACTGCTCTGATGACCCCGGGCAGCCATCTTTGGGTGTCGGCCACAGGTTCATCGGCCTCCCCAGGCCCAGCCACAAACAGTGTCTTCTCAGCCTACTTCTCTCCTTCTGTACCTTTCCTTCCTCAAGTTAGAAAATCCACAAGAAAGTGATGAATAACACTTTGCATATATTATCTCATTTCATCCCTCCCAGAAAACTCAAAAGGGAGGCTTCTGTCCCTGCTATACACACGAGGCATCAGAAGCCGAGGCCAGTCTGGCTGTCTAGCCATCAGGTGGGTGGGGCCGCATGTTGTAGGAGGGAACAGTGTCTGCCCTGAGTGTAGTCACCAGGACTTTGCCTGGTCACTTGGGTGGGGAACCATTTCTCTAGTGCTTCCTGCCCCTGCCTGTGAAGACACCCTTAGGGGTGGCTTCCCGGAGGCCCTGGGATGCTCCCGGGATGCTCATTGATGTGGAGGGACAGGGTCCTCTGTCAGTGGGACCCCAGCATGAGAGGAGTGTCAGCGTATGGCCCAATAGGGAGGCTGCCACAGAGTAAGGGCCACCTAGTGTGGCTTCTTGCTTTTAAATTAGAAGGCAGGCGGCAGCGCATCCTTGCTGTGATAATCAGTAAAAGGAGTGGGCTCATTTAAGTAACCGGTGTGAGTCAGAGATGAGGGGTTTGTGACCCAGCTTTTGTCCGTCCCTCAGAAGTGCCGCTGCAGGAAGGATGTGGTTCAGAGCTGCCCTGACTCACAGTGAGAGGTTCTCATGCTCTTCATCCAGGACACTAGTGCACACAGCTGGCGGCCACCCCGGGAGCCCTCACCAGCTCCACCTACCTGTTCTCATTATTTTCCTTCCCTTCCACATGGACCTTAGGCCCTTCTTCCTTCATTCATATCCCTTTCTCCATCCTGTTTCTCTCTCCTCTTTCTCCTTTTTGTCCTTTCTTTCGTTTTCTTTTGTTTTTTGTTTTTGAGACAGTGTGTCTCTCTGTCGCCCAGGCTGGAGTGCACTGGCGCCATCTCAGCTCACTGCAGCCTTGACCTTCCAAGCTCAAGCTCTCCTCCCACCTCATCCTCTTGAGTAGCTAGGACCACAGGCACTCACCACCACATCTAGCTAAATTTTGTTTTTAGTTTTTTTGTAGAGACAGGGTCTCCTTATGTTAGCCAGGCTGGTCTCTAACTCCTGGGCTCAAAGTCCTCCTGCCTCAGCCTCTCAAAGTGCTGGGATTATAGGTGTGAGCCTCTGGGCCAGGTCTCCCGTATTCTCTACCTGTAGGTTTGTCAGTGGTCCACATTGATGAGACCCCCCCCCTTCCACGAGTGCTCTCCCAGCACTTGATTTTGTTACATGCATTAAAAAAATACACTGCTAGGCTTGACATGACAGTTTCTAAGCTGGCTCCATCCTTCACATCAGCACCAGTTGTGAATTTACTAATTTATGAAAAGGAAGCAACAACCCCAAACCCCATTCCCGGGGGCAGGGCCTGTGGAGCGCGGTCTCCGACTGGCCTTCGTGTATAAAATTTCTTCACTAGGCCTTGCAAAATCAAAAGCCTACTGAAGTCCCAGCCCAAATATGATTCAGAAACCTGCTGGCAAGCACAAAAGAGCAATCTGTGTCCCTTTCTAGCAATCAGAGTCTTAAAAATATTATGGTTTGGTGGCTGGGCAGGTTGGCACTATAGTGGTGATGGATTCCAACATTTTTTTTTTTTCCATTCTGAGGTCATCTTTGTGGAAGACCCAAGCACAGGCGTTCAAAGCCCATGCCGTGGAGGAACTGTGACTTCAAGGGCTTCCATCCAGGTCAATATCAGTGGGTGCCTTTCCAAAATGCTTCCTACTTAATTTCCTCTGTGCACCATGATAACTCAAGGGCCTTTGAATTGCTTTCCTGTGCCCCTTCGTTGTATGTCCAAATTTAGCATCATGTCTAAGTCCTAAAATTTGTTATGCTTCCTCTTCCAGACCCATTATTATGTTTATGGATTTTTTAAAAAATAACAAAACTGTAACCTCCGGAATAGTCCACAGGGTACTTTATGTTTTAACTGAATCTGCCCTGTCTGTCATCTAGAGTCATTCATTGCAACATCATAAAAAGCAGGCCTGACAATGCATTAGCAGTCCCACTGGGCGTTTGTGGATTTTCTAGTTACAATTCTGCCAGCGCAACCTACAATTCTTGCTCAAATTGAACTTTCCTGGAGAGTGATGTTCATCCATTATGTTTTCAGAGCAGTTTTCTCGTTTCTGACTGACCTTTAATTTTATGCTAACCTCTATACTTCAGTCTTCATCTTCTCCAGACCCCAGATTCCCCCTTTCCAAAATTAGCCCACTTGTTACCCTGTGTCAGAGGGACATTTGCTCAGGGTGGTCTACTGAATAGACTGAGGCGTGCTGAAAAATGAAATTGCAGGCTTCCAGACCCGGAGAGCTTTCAGAGCAAATTCTGGTCATCACAGAAGCATGTCAGGCACCTGACACCAGGGTTGGTGAATATGAGTCGCTCTAGAGAGATGTCCAAAGCCCCTTCTCCCAACTGGGGAAGAAGGCTGCTCTTGGCTCTTTCAGTGAGACCTACAGCCTTGGTGCTCAGTTTCTGTATCTAGATACCAATGCTTAACTACAGGCCCCTCCGGAAGGGGAGTGGCTTTTGAAAGAACAGGCTAGGCCAACAGCAAAGAACAGTGCTGTGACCATCCACTGGTCCAGAACATGCCACTAGGGTTGGAAAGTGATGGAAAGCAGCAGGCATCTGCTAGGCTGCAGATTTGGGGACCAGGAAGGGATTGCTAGACAAAGGCATGGCTTTAGTGGGGCCTCCCCAGCCCCACTCAAATGACCACAGCAAAGCACGACCGACTGGACTTTGAGGGCCCCCACAGAAGGACCAGCCTCAGGATTTTGTTCATGGAGAAGGGAAGGATAACTTTCTTTCTCACTTCCCACAGAACCCCCAGTTCATCAGGCAGGCAGCAAGCCTCTAGCTGATTTCTTAAGTTAAACCACACATCCATCCTGTCTCCTGGGTATCAGGCCCAGTGCCAGACTGTAGCTGCCCAGGTGATAACAAGTCAGTGTGGCTCATGAGGACTTTGCAGGCCACTGAGAAGATGGAAAACGTGAGCCAATGGTTACTTTTTTTTTTTGAGACAGAATCTCAATCTGTCCCACCCAGGCTGAGTACAATGACTCAATCTCAGCTCACTGCAACCTCTACCTCCCGGGTGCAAGCCATTCTCCTGCCTTAGTCTCTCAAGTAGTAGTCTCTCACCTGCTACTGCGCCCAGCTAATCTTTTGTATTGTTAGTAGAGATGGGGTTTCACCATGTTGGTCAGTCTGGTCTTGAACCCCTGACCTCAGGTGATCTGTCCACTTCAGCCTCCCAAGGTGCTGGGATTACAGGCATTAGCCACTGTTCCCAGCCCAAATGTCAGTATTCTAAGGAGGCTTTCACTTTTTAAAACAAGGGTATCATTTTCCATTGTGGTTGAGAAGGATTCATGTGAACAAACAGAACTGTCTCCTAATTTTTCTCATAATTAGCTGCTGCTGCATATGCAATGAATAGATTTGCTCATTTTTGGTTAGACATGTTGTTTTTCACAGGATTATATTCTAGATATTTCCCAAGCAGTTGCTAGTGGCTGTTTCGTTGGCCACATCTCTCCTGAGATTAGACATGGGGCTGTTAGCAAGGGTAACTTCTGTCTCATCTCCGTCCCGTTCGCCCAGGAATTCTGTGTAAAGCCCCCACTTGTCCCATTGAACTCATGGACACAGTTTTTCTGGGTGATCACATTCTACTTTGCTTTTCTTATCTTTTTCCCACCCTGTGTTAATATGTTTAGCATGTTTTCTAAAAGGTGCCATCGTTAATGTCTTTTAAAATGTAAGATAATTAGTTTCATTTTTCTAAAAAGAAAAATTTGATCTCATTTCCTTAAACATATCAGAAAACATGTTTTTGGCTTTGAAACCATATGCAGCAGTGCACATTTCAGCTAGTGATGGGCGTCCTATAGCGAAGCTAGTAGAAGAGCCATTCTTGCCGGGCGCGGTGGCTCATACCTGTAATCCCAGCACTTTGGGAGGCCAAGGTCAGTGGATCACGAGGCCAAGAGATCGATACCATCCTGGCCAACATGGTGAAACCCCGTCTTTAAAAAATAAAAAAATATATATATATAAAAAGAAGAGCCATTCTTGCTAACTTGTCTGAAGGAGAAATCTACCAGAGCAATCCCCATGGGGGGTCCGCTTACAACTGTCAGAGCCCACCCCTTACTAGGTACAAAATAGATGTTTATTAATTAGATGGTTTAGAGTTTTCTATGTTCTGTGGACAGCATTGTAAAACAGATAATTTAAGATTTCCCATATGACCTGTATTTTAATTAAATTAGAATTTTGGCACCTTGTGCAAACAGAAGGAAGTTTAACCCAAACTTCTCAGCGATTTTGGTCTGTTATATATGGCAGTTTTGACAAAGTCAAAGTGATAATGTGACATTTTGGGCAGAGAAGAAAACCACGTTCCCTCTGTAGGAAGTGACGGGCTATTTATATTCTCGCCCCATTTCTGTCATTTTTCATCTGTCTTCTGATTATGCTCATGGTGTGTGCTTGCGCAAGTAGCACCTTAGGATTTTAGCCCCTTCTCTAAGCACACCGTGAAACCCGAATATCAATTGAGAAAATGCGTCAAAGCCACAGGGTACGGTTTCCTCCCTACAGTCAGGCATTCCAGGAAAGCCTTCACAGGACTGTCAGGAATGAGAACGGTGCTTAATAAAAGCCCACTCACCATGAGCCTAAGAGCAGAGAGGTGAGAGGGTAGATTGTTTCTGATGCAAAGGCCCAGCCACATACTTCCTCGATTTCTTATAGGCTTTCACAGTGGGATGTAACAATTATGATGCCTTATTAAGTTGTCATTTTTAAGTCTTGCCCTTGGATTTTCTATAGCGTCTGAGAGCCTGTAGACAGTAGGTGCTGAAGACTTTTCAGTGCTTTGTTTTCTATAGTGTTTCTCAGGCTACTGATGGGCAGTCACATGGGAGTCCCCAAGGGAAGACTGTGGCTTCTGGAGCTGGAATCCTGGCTCCCTGAAGTGGGGAGGGAGGGAGGGAGGAAGAAAGGGGGTGTGCAGGAGGGCCAGTGGCGATGGCTTCCAAAATGACTAATCCTTATAGAACCTCACCAGGAAGCCCTCTACTTAGCGTTCAAAACCCAAATGCTCAAAACAGAATTTCAATGACAACAAAAGCGACACAGAAATTGTGACCTCCTACTACTGTGCCTGGTGTTAAGACAGCCTACACCACGTACAGGTTGTCAACACAGAAGCAGAGGCTGCTCAGTGGCAAATGTCTTACCTCAGATTGATTTTGGAAGTTTCTACTTTTCCAGCCCATAACTAAGCTTTGTTGTAAGTGGCTGCCTAACAAGTCATCTGGGGGTAGGAGTGAATACAGAATTTTCTTTTTTTAAAGATAGAGTCTCACCCTGTTGCCCAGGCTGGAGTGCAATGGTGCGATCTCAGCTTGCTGCAACCTCTGCCTCCTGGGTTCACATGATTCTCCGCCTCAGCTTCCCGAGTAGCTGGGATTACAGGCATCTGCCACCACACCCAGTTAATTTTTGCATTTTTAGTAGAGACGGTGTTTCACCATGTTGGCCAGGCTGGTCCCACCTCGGCCTCCCAAAGCACTGGGATTACAGGTGTGAGCCACCATGCCTGGTTTTTTTTTTGAGACGGAGTCTTGCTCTGTTGCCCAGGCTGGAGTACAGTGGTGCAGTCTCAGCTCACTGCAACCTCTGCCTCCTGGGTTCAAGCAATTTTTCCCACCTCAGCCTCCCGAGTAGAAGGGATTACAGGTGCCTGCCACCATGCCCGGCTGATTTTTGTATTTTCAGTAGAGATGGGGTTTCACTATGTTGCCAAGGTTGGTCTCAAACTCCTGACCTCAGGTGATCCACGCACCTCAGCCTGCTGAGATTATGGGCGTGAGTCACAGCACCCGGCCTTAGATACAGAATTTGAGGGGCTATCCTTACCTTTTAAGACAAAGAGGTAATTCCAAAATAAGAATAGTAGTAATAAAAATATAAGTTTTTGCCAGAGGCTCCTGCCCACAGCCTTCTGCCTGTGTGAGTGGAAGGGCGGTCCTGCAGCCCAGTCCCCGCAGGGACTCTTACCAGGCTTCACGCACTGTTGCTGTATAGTCAGCCCAGTCCCCGCAGGAACTCTTACCAGGCTTCACGCACTGTTGCTGTATAGTCAGCCCAGTCCCCGCAGGGACTCTTACCAGGCTTCACGCACTGTTGCTGCAGTCAGCCCATTCCCCGCAGGGACTCTTACCAGGCTTCACGCACTGTTGCTGTATAGTCAGCCCAGTCCCCGCAGGGACTCTTACCAGGCTTCACGCACTGTTGCTGTATAGTCAGCCCAGTCCCCGCAGGGACTCTTACCAGGCTTCACGCACTGTTGCTGTAGTCAGCCCAGTCCCGCAGGGACTCTTACCAGGCTTCACGCACTGTTGCTGTATAGTCAGCCCAGTCCCCGCAGGGACTCTTACCAGGCTTCACGCACTGTTGCTGTATAGTCAGCCCAGTCCCCGCAGGGACTCTAACCAGGCTTCACGCACTGTTGCTGTATAGTCAGCCCAGTCCCCGCAGGGACTCTTACCAGGCTTCACGCACTGTTGCTGTATAGTCAGCCCAGTCCCCGCAGGGACTCTTACCAGGCTTCACGCACTGTTGCTGTAGTCAGCCCAGTCCCCGCAGGGACTCTTAC